CGCTCTAAAAAGGAGACCTCCCAAGCTCTGATGTCAGCACTAAGTGAAAAACCCTGCTTAGTGAAGGCAGAGGTTGTCTACTGCGTCAGGTTCCCCTCTCTCTCTGATTGTAGCGCACATGCAGTTGCTGGCCTGGTATATATATATATATATATATATATATATATATATATATATGTGTGTATGAATGCTGAGTAGGTTACCCCTTACCCACTTATGGGACCTTGTGCTGGGGACAATAAAAGGCCACTCTAAAATGTGCAGTTTTGTCAAATGCCACAGATGTCTCAAGTTTTGAGGAAGCGTGCAATTGGCATGATGACTGCAGGAATGTCCACCAGAGCTGTTGCCAGAGAATGTAATGTTCATTTCTCTACCATAAGCCGCCTCCAATGTTGTTTTAGAGAATTTGGCAGTACGTCCAACCGGCCTCACAACCACAGACCACGTGTAACCACGCCAGCCCAGGACCTCCACATCCAGCTCTTCACCCGGACAGCTGATGAAACTGAGGAGTATTTCTGTCTGTAATAAAGCCCTTTGTGGGGAAAAACTAATTCTGATTGGCTTGGCCTGGCTGCCCAGTGGGTGGGCCTGGCTCCCAAGTGGGTGGGCCTATGGCTGCGCCCCTGCCCAGTCATGTGAAGTCCATAGATTAGGGCCTAATGAATTTATTTCAATTGACTGATTTCCTTATGAACTGTAACTCAGTAAAATCGTTGAAATTGTTGCATGTTGCGTTTATATTTTTGTTCAGTATACATCCAACAGGCAGCTGATGTTAGGGAAGCTGTAGAAGCAAGGCCGAGAGAAGATACAGCCGCTGACTGTCTGGTGTGAGAAAGATGACTGAAATGAAGCGTCATCTAAACACCTTTGTAGTTGTAGCTTTTCCATAGAGAGCAGTCACCTACTCACAGGCGGTATTACCCGACTGACAGTGACATAAGAAATGTCATGTTTAAGATCAAGGAGGGCACAAGAGACTCCAACATTGCTGCTCCTTCAAATTTTCCTGGTCAATCTAAATTTAAGTGACAGAACAGTTAGTCAGTTCCGTTAATAATTCAGAAAGAATAGTCTTATTGTTGTGTATGTCTATGTAACGAGTCCTTACCTCTTCCACTGGCCCTGGTTGATAAATGGTCTTCCAAGATGGGCTACTTCGTCCACTAAAGGCCTAATTTGAACATTCTGTTCAACTTAATAAAAACATGTTTTCTCAATTCAATATGTTAAAAAAATTACTATAGTAAGTGCCAAATAAAGTAACAGGGTTGTAGTTTTCATCTAAAATCAGCCGGAAATCAGCCAATTTCCGAACTTTACATTTCTGTGAAGCTGTGTACATTTTACTTGTGGATTTTGTGTGTCAATGTGTTTGTCTACATGCCATTTTAAAAACAATGCAGCTATTGGAGTAAACCTATTTTGACAAGAAGGGCAAACATCATGATAAGGTTGCAAGCTGAGTTTGAATAAGACATCCGATTATCACTTCGCATTTAGATCGTTTGGTTTTATTATAGCTAATAATGCTGCATTCAAAACAACTGGGAACTCAGAAATCTCTGACTTCAGTGCATTCAAGACAACTGGGAACTCAGAAAAAAAACTAGCTCCAGCTGGGAAAAATCGTTTTGAAAGGTCATCCACTCGGAATTCCAAGTGGGAAACTCTGGCAATTTTCTAGAGCTCCGACTTTCCGACCTGAAGATCACTGACGTCGTGATTTGACCTAGTTTTTTTTCGAGTTCACAGTTGTCTTGAAAGAAATGCATCTCTTGTATGCCCCTGTAAACCGGTCGGCATACACGTCATCACACTCCCTCATCTGATTAGTCATTTCCCACAAACCGCAAGCCGGCATACGCATCATCACACCCCCTAGTCTGATTGGTCGTTGCCCGAGAACCGTAAACCAGCATACGTGTCATCACACTCCCTCATCTGATTGGTCAAGTAGGCAGGCCTTATGACTTTGTGGCTGTGGTAACTAGTACCAACCCATACACAACCTCAAGGGGCCAGGGTTTCGGTCTTGAAGCATGGTTTTGACTGCTCCTACAGTTTTGCTTCGGTACTGCAGTTTAACTGACGCCCGGCACAGAAATACAATTTCTATACATGGCCACATAGAGAAGTCAGGTTAGAAAATTCCTAATAAGACACTTTAGTCATCACCTTTGTGCACAAATCATTAAGGGTGTGCCGACATGGCCATACTCGTATTCGTAATCGTATCCGTAAATTGACAGTTGATGATACTCGTGATCGGAAAAACTGAAGTGTTTTAATATGCCTAAATAGGTGTTGGCAAAATACCTCTATGCACGTTCTCACTACAAAAAAGCTGCAGATTAGGAGCAGCTTGCGGAGGGGTGGGTGTCTGTGTGTGTGTCTGTGTGTCCTCAACTTGCAGGAGGCAGCCAAGTTTGCTGTCACTCAGTCAGAATGTGCATTAGCGTTTCATCTTTTTTCCCTAAACAAAAGGTATGATGGGTCAACTGACTGTCTGGTGTGAGAAATATGACTGAAATGAAGCGATAAAAATATGTTGCATAAAGCTTACTTCATTATTTTCACTGCATCAGGGATAGTGTACACATACGTTTTGGCTTTGCAGCCTTCAGTGTGTAGGTACATTTTTTTTTAAACATAATTTGTGTGAACAACCTACCCTTGCCCCACTTGTTAGATATTATGCACATTGATAGCTTGATAGCAAAGTTCCTCTCTATGTGATTGATCATAGTAGCAGGCAGAATACATCTAAATGATTAGAATGAAAACATGCGAGGAAAAGCGATCGGCTGAAATTATGAAGCGAGTGGATGGAGAAATACAGTTTCAATGCAGCAGGATCAACGTACCTTTACAGACAGGCAAACTAGCCAGTTGAGCTATTTAGACCAGTGGTTCCCAACCTTTTTTGGGTACTGTACCCCTAAAACACTTTGACCTGCCTGAAGTACCCCCTCATGCACGTGCGACAGGCATGATTCCTAAATTAGCTATAAATTGTTTGTTTTTTATGCACCCAGTCAAGTTTGGCAGACTTGTTTTCAATGTCAGGGAAGTAGGAGTTGAACTCAACTGTTGAGTTTGGATAAATGTGAGCTTACTATTTGGACCATAGGAGCTCTATCAACATCACCTGTAGAAAGGTACTGTAGGTGTCAAGCTGCTGGAAACAACTTACAGTATATCCCCACCTTCACATTTCCTCTCCCAGAGTTCGATCTTCATGAATCCACACACTTTGTCATACGTTTAGAATGTGTTTGTCTTTAACTTGCAGAGTTAGATTCAGGTTGTTCAGTTTGATGAACACATCAGCAAGATAGGCAAGGCGGGCTCCCCAGTCTGTGTCCTCGAACACAGCCACAAGGGGGTGTGAGTGCTCAGACAGAAAATCATTACTTCAATTCGCAGCTCAAAAAGCCTCTGTAGCGTTTTCCCTCTAGATACCCAACGGACATCAGTGTTAAACGGTAGCTGCTGGTGCTCAGTCCCACTGTCATCACAGAGCCTTTCAAACAGTCGATGATTCAGAGGCCTTGACTGGATGGATAAGTGAATCACTTTCCACTGCGTCATTCAAAACATAATGTAACTCAGGACTCATTGTCTTGCTGGCCAATGCCTCTCTGTGAATGATACAGTGGGATTTACCTTCTTTATGTGGGCAATTAATCCTTTCACTCTCCCAGGCATTGATGCAGCATGATCCATGCGCACATGAACACATGATTTCCAATCCAGATTGTGCTCTGAGAAAATGCTGTCAATAATGTGAAACACATCCTCCCCGTTAGCTTCTTGCAGAACAGAATGTGCTAATTAATTTCCGAAATGTCTCTCTATCACACAAACGCAATCAACTGGGCTTCCCCAATGACATCAGTATAATCGTCCAACTATGGAGAAAATTAACGCCCATGTCGTCGATCCTACGGCACACCGTGTTATTTGACAATGGTACAGTCTTCTGTGCATCAGCTGCTGTCTTAACAATCATAGTTTCTGAGAGTATAACAGCAGCAGGCACTCTAGCGTGCGGAGCAAATGATCACGTGCACTTGGCGCAAGCAGAGGATCAATCATTGCGCCAACGGGCAGGTGGGTAGAGGCCAGGTAGACAGAGCAATGCGCACACACCGAAACTAAAGTAAAAAAGTAAGCCTATAAATATAAAATAACTAGAGATTTCACACCAGTGGCTTCAGTAAATATTTTCCTGCATATTAAGATTGGAACAACTTTTTTGGTAATATTTTTTGCCAATATTTTTCTTCAATACATTTTTTAAAATCTTCCCACCTATCCCCTGGGGTACCCCCGGTTGGGAAACACTCTTTTAGACCATGCACATGACTGACTAAAAGACAGTACAGTATGGTTTAGAAGCTCTGTGACTGACTGACATGAGAAAGATGCTTGCTGGCACCTGAAAATATATATTTTTTCCGATCATGGATAATTACAAAAATATTCAGATCATAATTATATCTAGAAAATTGCCCATTTCCGTTACGATTCATGTTTTGTCCAACTACTCGGCACACCCTTGCAAAACATCAATTGAATTATTCAAATAATTGTTGCTGAGTCCAATTCTTTTTTTCATCGCTCACATTCAAAGATATTAACATTTTATATTCAACCAATGTCTGCCTTGTTTCTGGATGACGTGATGACGTCGTCCTGCTCCCTTTGCGCTCTGAGTGCTAGTGCGCATGTGCTGTTGGTACATATAACCGGATGCAACCCGGATATAGGCGTCTGCGCACGTGAATAGATTACCTTTCAAACAAGGGGCGGACATCTTGGACGCAGTCTCCAGTTCTTATTATACCTCAATTTACACCACATATTGATTCATTTTGTTAGATAGGTAGCTAAGCTAACTAACCACTACGAATATTAGATAGACTACTATAAAAAGGCTGCAGTAAAATCACATGCCCTACAGTCTCTTTTAAAATCATAACATAGAAATGTCTGGAAGCGCAGGAGAATGGTGTCTTATGGAAAGTGATCCTGGTGTTTTTACAGAATTGATCAAAGGTTTTGGTGAGTGTGCTCTATGCTAACTAGTTAGCTAGTCTACTAGTGGTCGCTAGCTCGATTGCCAACAACAAGCTCTTGCCAAGTCTGTGCAGCCTTGGCTATGCATATCATTTTGTTAGTGCTAGTTTGCAGTCTAGCAAATTTCATGATTCTATTTGCGAACCAGATTCAACACACGCTAGTTATCTGCTACAGCAGCGAACATGCTAGCCAGGTGGCGTCGTTGATTCCATTGCGCGATAATGATGAGATAGAATTAGCATGCTACCACGACACTCACTAGGTGTGTAGGTATCGGGGGTTACTAGTTTAGCTAGCTGACACTAATGAAATTCCTTTAGAAACTGAAATACATTTTACTGCATGCCTTTCTATTGAATATTGTACGCAATATGATAAGCTAGATGGATAAACATAGCTTGTTTGTGCAATCCTCTGCCAATTGAAATGGAAAATTTAGTCTAGCTAACAAACGTTAGTAGACGGATAATCCTGTCCACTAACTAATGGTTTACGTAATAGATGGGCAACTTTGATGGAGGTGGGGGCCACAACAAAAACGGACCTCATCATGTGAGGCCGCAGTGGCTCGTGGGTCTGCATACCCACAGCCAGATACCCCCGTGACAGCTAAGAAACATTTGCAGTTTTACAGCTAATTTCCTGCAATTCTTCACATTTTGCCATAGGGTGGAGGCAAATGTTTGCAGTTTTTAATGACAACTGATGATCAATGGGCCACACCCCGGTCGGTAATTCATTCAACCTTGCTTACTATAAGTTTAGATTGTCTAGTTGCCAGCAAATGTACCAATCTAAAAAACATTTGCTGACTTTAGTGACTGCTGATGCACAACCAAATTTCGAAATTGCACCTTGTGTATTCTGTTATATAACCCTCAACAGTAATTTGAGACCATGACTGATTATTTTTTGGGGGGTTAGTGGGCCTACAAAAGGGGGGCCATGCGCCCGCGTGCCGCCAGTTTTCCCATCCCTGGTTTATGTAATTATGTTGTAGTTAACCCAGCTTTCTCCTTTCTACTAACCCAGGTTGTAAAGGAGCTCAGGTGGAAGAAATATGGAGTATGGAACCAGAGAACTTTGAAAACCTGAAGTAAGCCATGGCCCATGCCCTAATCTCTTTACTTCTAAACACTTTACTTTTAAGTACATAGTATTGCAGTGGTACTAGGTTTCTCTTTCTTCCTTCAAGACCAGTTCATGGGTTGATCTTCCTGTTCAAGTGGCAACCAGGTGAGGAGCCAGGAGGATCTATCGTTCAGGATTCAAGGCTTGACAACATCTTCTTTGCCAAGCAGGTACATGGTTTGGTTTGACATCTCTATTCATTGTATGTATTGCAGATAGCTAGCACATATCCAAATTGCTCTCTGAAGTATTCTCAGAAGTCACTTGTTTTTCGTCCTGGCACAGATTCTGCTGATAGCGGCTATTTCGAAGAGTCTACTTGTGCATTATTATTGTGATGTGGTTGTTTTTTAAAACTTCAAGTTCAATGCATTGACTCTGTCTGCTCTGGATAAGAGCTTCTGCTAAATGACTAAAATGTAAAATTACAGGATCTCATTTGATGTCTAATGTCTCTCCTGTTTATGTGTGTGCAGGTTGGTATTTATTGAGATTACTCATGTACTGGAGGCTGCTGTGGAGAGTGGTCACCAGCTGGCACAGCCACAAAGTCATAAAGAACAGATTTTAAACCTAACCTTAACAACACTGCTAACTCGAATGCCTAACCTTAAATTAAGACCAAAAAGCAAATTTGTATTTTCATGATTTTTTACGATAAAGCCAATATTGACTTTGCAGCTGGCCCATCTAGTGGAAACTGCTCAGTTCTGCCTCTAGGGAAAGACTCATGACAATAAACGTAAATAAATGTCAACCTGCTGTGTGTGCTGTTTCAGGTGATAAACAATGCATGTGCTACCCAGGCCATTGTGAGTGTGCTGCTGAACTGTACCCACTCTGACATGCTACTGGGAGAGACACTCACAGAGTTCAGAGAGTTTTCACTCAGCTTCGATGCAGCTGTAAGTTGATTCTGGTTATTTTGGCAGCATTTAGTTTTTGCAGGCTTTAAAAAAATTATAGATTTTGTCCTTGGGATGTGCATAACACCTAGCCTGGTTGACGTGACCCACGTGATATACAGCGAAGAAGAGCTGTGACCTACTGGTCTGGACAGGAGGCATTTGTTGGTGTAATATTCGCCCAGACATTGAGAGACTATTGATTGGTTCTCTCAAAAGTTTTTTTTCCCCCCCCCCTGGGGTCTGAGAACTCGAGTTGTTTGGATTTGAAAATGCAACAGTTGTATTAGAAGGGGTGACCCTCGGGAGATGTGTGGCTGTATATGTAGGTGTTTGAGTGAGAGAAACAGAGAGGAGAACCATCCACAGTAATATCACAGCCCCCTTCATTATTGACGCATCGTGCAGACATCAAACAGCCTCTCCAGACTTTAAAGTCAGGAGAGTACATAAAACTCACACATTGATGATATTCTTTCTTCTCTTCTATAAAGATGAAAGGTCTGGCTCTCAGCAACTCTGAAGTTATTCGACAAGTTCACAACAGCTTTGCCAGGTGAGTTGACTTTTCATTTCAGAGGGATAGTTTATCACCGCTAACATCACTAGATGAATCGAAGGCTTGGCTCTAAACAGACAAACTGCCACATTTGATTGAATGTGGTTTTTCATAAGACATTACCCACAGAGCTCAAAATGAAGAGAAAAAAGGCTTTGGGTTTAATACCATGTTAGTTGCTCTGCTAATGAAAGCTAAAACTGTCATTTGTCATATTTTTATTGTGTTTGTTTTCAGACAGCAGATGTTTGAGTTTGACGCCAAGTCTTCAGCGAAGGATGAGGAAGCGTTCCACTTTGTGAGCTACGTCCCTGTCAACGGCAGGCTCTATGAGCTGGACGGACTACGTGAAGGACCCATCGACCTCGGTACGCACACACCGTTCAGATATTTAGCTTTATAGAGATGTAAAGTTGCTATTTTGTCCTACATATAATTTTACCACAGTTTAAATGTTTGTAGTGTTTCACCGTAGCAGTTTTAGTTAGCCTCGTGAATTCGAAATAAGCTGTTTCCAGATTATTTTAGTTTTTATATAGTTGTATGATTAAGCATTTTTTCTTTCTAGTAAATTGAGTGTGTGGCCAGTAGTGCAGTCAATCACATGTTGAACCTGACACATGCTTCATAAACACCCTTGATGATTATCTACACTAGGGTTCCCCACCTGGTGGATTTTATTGTTGGACATAAAATACTATAAAAACACAAGCAAATCAGCTCCAAGTGATTTTAATTTTGGAATCTGTTCCAAAGTTTTCCCACACATGAGACATGATCATATACAAATGAATGCAAGGTTTGAAATGATGTTTTAGCCAAATATGATATCTGTTTGGGCTTCTTGCGGTCAATTTGCAGTCTACAAATTATTTGTCATTATGTTCCGGCCCCCTGACCATCCGCTCAAGAAAAATCGGCCCGTGGCTGAATCTAGTTGATGATCCCTGATTTACACTATATGCTTGTTGGCTATTGATCTATACATTTTGTCTTTGGTTGTATGACTAGTCACGCCTCTAGCATGAAATATACATTTATTTGATAACGTTATTTACTGTTTCTTCCCCTCTTGTTTTGTGTTTCAGGTGTATGCAACCAGGACGATTGGATCAACGCAGTTCGGCCAGTGATTGAGAAAAGAATACAAAAGTAAATATTTTGTTTCCATAACATTTTTCCCACGGTAAATAAGTGTGCCATATAGTTTGTGTTTATGCTTGCTCGTTGTGCTACGCAACTTCTACCTGAATCGATTACAAGAAGAAGAAAAAATGCGTCTTCTGTCCCTGTTATCAGGTACAGTGAGGGAGAGATCCGCTTCAACCTGATGGCCATCGTATCAGACAGGAAGATGATTTACGAGAGGAAGATAGCTGAGCTACAGATCCAGCTAGCAGAGGTAAGTGGTGTCGCAGTTATCCATGGGGCAGCCTTCAGGCCAGGACTATACAATTACCTGCCCTCCAAGGCCATGGATAGACTTCCACCCATGTCACTGCCATTGATCAAGTCCTTTAAAATGTCTGCTTATGATGAAACATCTATCCAACCTGCGGTAAGTAACGTTACTGTCATCCCAGAATTTCCGTTAGCCAGTTATTTATGCTTTTGGCTGATATAAATACATAAAAACCGACAAATAATAATTAGGATGAATAAATATCCTCTATAAATCTAATTGGCTATACATGGGTGTTGGGTCAGGTTGTATTTCAATCGCATCGTCTCTCTACTATGCCTGCCGGCCCGCAAAGTTTCCCGGCACCAGTGAGTCTGTGACAGACATGGCTGTATGCAGGCAGGGGACACATTTTCGGGTATTCTGTGACATTTTGCTAGATTAATCTCCCTAAAAGACAATTTACAGAAATATCCACCGAGGAGTATTTAGATGGAGTGATATTGCTTCCTTCTCTTCCTCTAATCTAAAATCTGGTTGAGCAGCTATCTTAAAAATGCCAAAAACAGTACAACTCAAGTTATCTAGTTAACTAGCAACTGTACCAAGGATGAAGGCACATACAAGTGGAAAGATAAATTGACACTGAAACTGAGGGTTTTTACAAGCCAGATGGACAGAGGGAGACGTGCATTGTTCAAGGAGCCACCATTTACTTCGTCGGCTAACATTCTTCCTTACCTAATTATTGCAGTCACTTCCATGTGGTGACAGTCGGCAGTGGACACTCTTAAAAAAAGTGTGTATATATATATACAGTGGGGAAAAAAAGTATTTAGTCAGCCACCAATTGTGCAAGTTCTGCCACTTAAAAAGATGAGGCCTGTAATTTTCATCATAGGTACACGTCAACTATGACAAACAAATTGAGAAAAAAAAATCCAGAAAATCACATTGTAGGATTTTTAATGAATTTATTTGCAAATTATGGTGGAAAATAAGTATTTGGTCACCTACAAACAAGCAAGATTTCTGTCTCTCACAGACCTGTAACTTTTTCTTTAAGAGGCTCCTCTGTCCTCCACTCGTTACCTGTATTAATGGCACCTGTTTGAACATGTTATCAGTATAAAAGACACCTGTCCACAACCTCAAACAGTCACACACCAAACTCCACTATGGCCAAGACCAAAGAGCTGTCAAAGGACACCAGAAACAAAATTGTAGACCTGCACCAGGCTGGGAAGACTGAATCTGCAATAGGTAAGCAGCTTGGTTTGAAGAAATCAACTGTGGGAGCAATTATTAGGAAATGGAAGACCACTGATAATCTCCCTCGATCTGGGGCTCCACGCAAGATCTCACCCCGTGGGGTCAAAATGATCACAAGAACGGTGAGCAAAAATCCCAGAACCACACGGGGGGACCTAGTGAATGACCTGCAGAGAGCTGGGACCAAAGTAACAAAGCCTACCATCAGTAACACACTACGCCATCAGGGACTCAAATCCTGCAGTGCCAGACATGTTCCCCTGCTTAAGCCAGTACATGTCCAGGCCCGTCTGAAGTTTGCTAGAGTGCATTTGGATGATCCAGAAGAGGATTGGGAGAATGTCATATGGTCAGATGAAACCAAAATATAACTATTTGGTAAAAACTCAACTCGTCGTGTTTGGAGGACAAAGAATGCTGAGTTGCATCCAAAGAAAACCATACCTACTGTGAAGCATGGGGGTGGAAACATCATGCTTTGGGGCTGTTTTTCTGCAAAGGGACCAGGATGACTGATCCGTGTAAAGGAAAGAATGAATGGGGCCATGTATCGTGAGATTTTGAGTGAAAACCTCCTTCCATCAGCAAGGGCATTGAAGATGAAACGTGGCTAGGTCTTTCAGCATGACAATGATCCCAAACACACCGCCCGGGCAACGAAGGAGTGGCTTCGTAAGAAGCATTTCAAGGTCCTGGAGTGGCCTAGCCAGTCTCCAGATCTCAACCCCATAGAAAATCTTTGGAGGGAGTTGAAAGTCCGTGTTGCCCAGCAACAGCCCCAAAACATCACTGCTCTAGAGTAGATCTGCATGGAGGAATGGGCCAAAATACCAGCAACAGTGTGTGAAAACCTTGTGAAGACTTACAGAAAACGTTTGACCTGTGTCATTGCCAACAAAGGGTATATAACAAAGTATTGAGAAACTTTTTTGTTATTGACCAAATACTTATTTTCCACCATAATTTGCAAATAAATTCATAAAAAATCCTACAATGTGATTTTCTGGATTTCTTTTTCTCATTTTGTCTGTCATAGTTGACGTGTACCTATGATGAGAATTACAGGCCTCTCATCTTTTTAAGTGGGAGAACTTGCACAATTGGTGGCTGACTAAATACTTTTTTTTTCCCCCACTGTATATATATTTAATATACATTTCCCTACACGTGGTGGGATTCAAATGGATTTCGATTTGATATGGCTGGTAAATCTCGCATTTGTCCGGCAAACTAAACTCTGGTTGGACAATTGACCGACCGGAAACTCTGACTCACCCTTTCTCCAGGAAGAGCCAATGGACACAGACCAGAGCAGCACCCTCCTCAGCTCCATCCAATCAGAAATCGCCAAGTATCAGTTGCTGATCGATGAGGAGAATCAGAAACTCAGACGATACAAGGTGTGCTCGCTGACCGTGGGTCTCTAGCCGTCAGATAATATAATATGGGCATTTTAGAAGATGTGTAGTTATTTCAATACCCTATTATAACGCTTGATGGTTTTCTTGAACATTGTATCCTTAATTTTTTCTGTAGATCGAAAACATCAGACGAAAGCATAACTACCTACCCTTCATCATGGAACTACTGAAGACACTGGCAGAATACCAGCAGTTGATACCGTTGGTGGAAAAGGTGAGGAACTGCTAAGGCCACATTTTGTTACGTTACAGCCTTATTCTAAAATTGATTAAATAGTTTATTTCCCTCATCAATCTACACACAATACCCCATAATGACAAAGCAAAAACAGGTTTCTAGAATTTTTTGCAAAATTTAATAAACTGAAATATCACATTTACATAAGTATTCAGACCTTATACTCAGTACTTTGTAGATGCACCTTTGTCAGCGAATACAGCCTCGATTCTTCTTGGGTATGACGCTACAAGCTTGGTACACCTGTATTTGGAGAGTTGTTCCCATTCTTCTTTGCAGATCCTCTCAAGCTCTATCAGGTGGGATGGGGAGTGTCGCTGCACAGCTATTTTCAGGTCTCTACAGAGATGTTCATGTCCGTGCTCTGGCTGGGCTACTCAAGGACATTCAGAGACTTGTCCTGAAGCCACTCTTCGTTTGTCTTGGGTGTGTGCTCAGGGTCATTGTCCTGTTGGAAGGTGAACCTTTGCCGCAGTCTGAGGTCCTGAGTGTTCTGGAGTGGGTTTTCATTAAGGATCTCTCTGTACTTTGCTCCGTTCATCTTTCCCTCGATCCTGACTAGTCTCCCAGTCCCTGCCGCTGAAAAACATCCCCACAGCATGATGATGCTGCCAACACCATGCTTCACCGTAGGGATGGTGCCAGTTTCCTCCAGACGTGACGCTTGGCATTTCAGGCCAAAGAGTTCAATCTTGGTTTCATCAGACCAGAGAATCTTGTTTCTCATGGTCTGAGAGTCCTTTAGGTGCCTTTTGGCAAACTCCAAGCGGGCTGTCATGTGCCTTTTACTGAGAAGTGGCTTCCGTCTGGAAGGTTCTCCCATCTCCACAGAGGAACTCTGGAGCTCTGTCAGAGTGACCATTGGGATCTTGGTCACCTCCCTGACCAAGGCCCTTCTTCCCCGATTGCTCAGTTTGGCCGGGCGGCCAGCTCTAGGAAGTCTTGGTGCTTCCAAACTTCTTCCATTTAAGAATGATGGAGGCCACTTTGTTCTTGGGGACCTTCAATGCTGCAGAAATGTTGGTACCCTTCCCCAGATCTGTGCCTCGACACAATCCTGTCTCTGAGTTCTATGGACAATTCCTTCAACCTCATGGCTTGGTTTTTGCTCTGACATGCACTGTCAACTGTGGGACCTTATATAGACCGGTGTGTGCCTTTCCAAATCATGTCCAATCAATTGAATTTACCACAGGTGGACTCCAATCAAGTTGGAGAAACATCTCAAGGATGATCAATGGAAACAGGATGCACCTGAGCTCAATTTCAAGTCTCATAGACCCTTTGCTGAATACTTATGTAAATAAGGTATTTCTGTTTTCTTTTTTTATACATTTGCAAAAATATCTAAAGCAGTTTTTACTTTGTGATTATGGGGTATTGTGTGTAGATTGATTGGAAAACAACATTTTAATCAATTTTAGAATAAGGCTGTAATGTAACAAAGTCAAGGGGTCTAAATTGTTTCCCAATGCACTGTACATGCATACAGTCAGTATATGAAGTGACCAGTGTTCAATGTCTCTATATACACTACCGGTCAAAAGTTTTAGAACACCTACTCATTCAAGGGTCAATCTTTAGTTTTACTATTTTCTACATTGTAGAATAATAGTGAAGACATCAAAACTATGAAATGACATATGGAATCATGTAGTAACCAGAAAAGGGTTAAACTAATCAAAATATATGTTTTATTTGAGAGTCTTCAAATAGCCACCCTTTGCCTTGATGACCGCTTTGCACACTCTTGGCATTCTCTCAACCAGCTTCACATGGAATGCTTTACCAACAGTCTTGAAGGAGTTCCCACATATGCTGAGCCCTTGTTGGCTGCTTTTCCTTCACTCTGCGGTCAGACTCATCCCAAACCATCTCAATTTGGTTGAGGTCGGGGGATTGTGGAGGCCAGGTCATTTAATGCAGCACTCCATCACTCTCCTTCTTGGTAAAATAGCTCTTACACAGCCTGGAGGTGTGTTGGGTCATTATCCTGTTGAAAAACAAATGATTGTCCCACTAAGCCCAAACCAGATGGGATGGCGTATCGCTGCAGAATGGTGTGGTAGCCATGCTGGTTAAGTGTGCCTTGAATTCTAAATAAATCACTGACAGTGTCACCAGCAAAGCACCCCCACACCATAACACCACCACCTCCATGCTTTACGGTGGGAAATACACATGCAGAGATCATCCATTCACCCACACCGCGTCTCACAAAGACACAGCGGTTGGAACCAAAAATCTCAAATTTGGACTCCAGACCAAAGGACACATTTCCACTGGTCTAATTTCCTTTGCTCGTGTTTCTTGGCCCAAGCAAGTCTCTTCTTCTTATTGGTGTCCTTTAGTAGTGGTTTCTTTGCAGCAATTCAACTATGAGGGCCTGATTCACACAGTCACCTCTGAACAGTTGATGTGTCTGTTACTTGAACTCTGTGAAGCATTTATTTGGGCTGTAATTTCTGAGGCTGGTAACTCTAATGAACTTTCATGTCTTAAAATAATGATGGACTGTCGTTTCTCTTTGCTTATTTGAGCTGTTCTTGCCGTATTATGGACTTGGTCTTTTACCAAGTAGGGCTATCTTCTGTATACCCCCCTACCTTGTCACCTTACATCTGATTGTCTCAAATGCATTTAGAAGAAAATACATTCCACAAATTAACTTTTAAGAAGGCACACCTGTTAATTGAAATGCATTCCAGGTGACTACCTCATTAAGCTGGTTGAGAGAATGCCAAGAGTGTGCAAAGCTGTCATCAAGGCAAAGGGTGGCTATTTGAAGAATCTCAAATATAAAATATATTTTTATATGTTTAACACTTTTTTGGTTACTACATGATTCCATATGTGTTATTTCATAGTTGATGTCTTGACTATTATTCTACAATGTAAAAAATAAAGAAAAACCCTTGAATGAGTAGGTGTTCTAAAACTTTTGACCGGTAGTGTACATGGGGCATTAGCCTCAAACGAAAGCATGACATGCCAGCAACAGATTCTGACACTACACATCAAAGTATAACTGATCAAATAATGAAAGACAAGCATTGTAATTTTAAATTCTGTAAAGTGATTGTGGAAGAGGTGAAAGATAATGTATTATTGTCTACCAACAATGACAAGCCACTGGGGTGATATTGCCACTCCTCCTATTTGCCATATCTTCAATCTAAGCCTACTAGAAAGTGTGTGCCCTCAGGCCTGGACCGAAGCAAAAGTCATTCTGCTACCCAAGAATAGTAAAGTCTCCTTTACTGGCTCAAATAGCTTACCAATCAGCCTGTTACCAACCCTTAGTAAACTTTTGGAAAAAATGGTTTGACCAGATACAATGCTATTTTACAGTAAACAAATTGACAACAGACTTTCATCATGCTTATAGGGAAGGACATTCAACAAGCATGACACTTACATAAATGACTGATTGGCTGAGAGAAATTGATGATAAAAATATTGTGGGAGCTGTTTTGTTAGTGCGTCTTTTGACATTATCGATCAGTCTGCTGCTGGAAAAACGTATGTGTTATGGCTTTACACTCCTTGCTATATTGTGGATAAAGAGTTACATTTCTAACAGAACACAGAGGGTGTTCTTTAATGGAAGCCTCTCCAACATAATCCAGGTAGTATCAGGAATTACCCATAGCAGCTGTCTAGGCCCCTTACCTTTTTCAAAATTGACTAATGACATGAGTAAAGCCAGTATGTCTATGTATGCGGATGACTCAACACCATACACGTCAGCGACTGAAATGACTGCAACACTTAACATAGAGCTGCAGTTAGTTTCAGAATGGGTGGCAAGGAATGTTAGTCATAAATATTTAAAACTAAGATCATTGTATTTGGGACAAATCATTTACTAAACCCTAAACCTCAACTAAATATTGTAATGAATAATGTGGAAATTGAGCAAGTTGAGGTGACTAAACTGCTTGGAGTAACCCTGGATTGTAAACTGTCATGGTCAAAACATGTTGATACAACAGTAGCTAAGATGGCGAGAAGTCTGTCTATAATAAAGCGCTGCCCTGCCTTAACAGGCCCTAGTTTTGTTGCACCTGGACTACTGTTCAATCATGTTGTCAGGTGCAACAAAGAGGGACCTCTGAAAATTGGCTCAGAACAGGGCAGCACGGCTGGCCTTTAAATGTACACTGAGAGCTAACATTCATAATCAATCAATCAATCAATTTTATTTTTATATAGCCCTTCTTACATCAGCTAATATCTCGAAGTGCTGTACAGAAACCCAGCCTAAAACCCCAAACAGCTAGTAATGCAGGTGTAGAAGCACGGTGGCTAGGAAAAACTCCCTAGAAAGGCGAAAACCTAGGAAGAAACCTAGAGAGGAACCAGGCTATGAGGGGTGGCCAGTCCTCTTCTGGCTGTGCCGGGTGGAGATTATAACAGAACCATGCCAAGATGTTCAAAAATGTTCATAAGTGACAAGCATGGTCAAATAATAATCAGGAATAAATCTCAGTTGGCTTTTCATAGCCGATCATTAAGAGTTTGAAAACAGCAGGTCTGGGACAGGTAGGGGTTCCATAACCGCAGGCAGAACAGTTTAAAACTGGAATAGCAGCAAGGCCAGGCGGACTGGGGACAGCAAGGAGTCACCACGGCCGGTAGTCCCGACGTATGGTCCTAGGGCTCAGGTCTCTCAGTTGGCTTTTCATAGCCGATCATTAAGAGTTGAAAACAGCAGGTCTGGGACAGGTAGGGGTTTCGTAGCCGCAGGCAGAACAGTTGAAACTGGAATAGCAGCAAGGCCAGGCGGACTGGGGACAGCAAGGTGTCATCATGCCCGGTAGTCCTGACGTATGGTCCTAGGGCTCAGGTTCTCAGAGAGAAAGAGAGAACGAGAGAATTAGAGAGAGCATACTTAAATTCACACAGGACACTGGATAAGACAGGAGAAGTACTCCAGGTATAACCAACTAACCCCAGCCCCCCGACACATAAACTACTGCAGCATAAATACTGGAGGCTGAGACAGGAGCGGTCCGGAGACACTGTGGCCCCATCCGAAGAAACCCCCGGACAGGGCCAAACAGGAAGGATATAACCCCACCCACTCCGCCAAAGCACAGCCCCCGCATCACTAGAGGGATATCCCCAACCACCAACTTACAATCCTGAGACAAGGCCGAGTATAGCCCACATAGGTCTCCACCACAGCACAAACCAAGGGGGGGGCGCCAACCCAGACAGGAAGATCACGTCAGTAACTCAACCCACTCAAGTGACGCACCCCTCCCAGGGACGGCATGAAAGAGCACCAGCAAGCCAGTGACTCAGCCCCTGCAACAGGGTTAGAGGCAGAGAACCCCAGTGGAGAGGGGAACCGGCCTGGCAGAGACAGCAAGGGCTGTTCGTTGCTCCAGCCTTTCCGTTCACCTTCACACTCCTGGGCCAGACTACACTCAATCATATGACCTACTGAAGAGATAAGTCTTCAGTAAAGACTTAAAGGTTGAGACCGAGTCTGCGTCTCTCACATGGGTAGGCAGACTGTTCCATAAAAATGGAGATCTATAGGAGAAAGCCCTGCCTCCCGCTGTTTGCTTAGAAATTCTAGGGACAATTAGGAGGCCTGCGTCTTGTGACCGTAGCGTACGTATTGGTATGTACGGCAGGACCAACTCGGAAAGATAGGTAGGAGCAAGCCCATGTAACGCTTTATAGGTTAACAGTAAAACCTTGAAATCAGCCCTTGCCTTAACAGGATATATAATATGCATGTAAATCTCTCATGGCTCAAAGTGGAGGAGAGTGACTTCATCACTACTTGTTTTTGTAAGAAGTGTTGACATGCTGAATGCACTGAAGTGTCTGTTTTTTAAACTACTAGCACATAGCTCGGACACCCATGCATACCCCAAAAGACATGCCACCAGAGGTTTCTTCACAATCCCCAAGGCAAGAACAGACTATGGGAGGCACACAGTACCACATAGAGCCATGACTACATGGAACTCTCTTCCACATCATGTAACTGATGCAAGTAGTACAATCAGATTTAAAAAAACAGATAAAAATACACCTCATGGAACAACGGGGACTGTGAGGAGATATGCACTCTACACACACATGCATTGTAATATTGTTGTATGGTGGTTTTTTACATTTTGTATTGTAGATATGTAGTGGTGTAATGTTTATATGATGTACTGTTTAATCTTTTTTGTGTGTAATGTAAGTGCCTTAATGTGTTTGGACCCCAGGAAGAGTAGCTGCTGTAGCTAATGGGGATCCCTAATAAATACAAAAGGTGTAGGGCAGAGTCCTGGGCGGGTAGCCGGTTAGTGATGGCTATTCAACAGTCTGATGCGCCTGTACCTTCTCCGCTACCATCTAGCAGACAGAGTGAACAGACCGTGACTCGAGTGGCCAAAGTCCTTAATGATCTTCTTGGGCTTCCTTTAACACTGGGTATTAGGGACCATGGCGAATTTCTTCAGCTGCCTGAGGTTGAAGAGGCACTGTTGCACCTTCACCACAGTGTCAGTGTGGTGAGACCATTCAGGTCCTCAGTGATGTGCAAGCTAAGGAACTTGAAGCATTTGACCCTCTCCACCATGGCCCTGTCTGTGGGTGGGGGGTGTGCTCCCTATGTATCCTTTAGTCCACAATCGGCTCCTTTGTTTTGTTGACATTGAGGGAGAGGATATTTTCATGGCACCACTCCAGTCTTGAGAACCGGTTAATAATGTTATTTTTAGTTCCAAAAATATTCCTAATGTCTAGTATGTAAATCGGTGAAGTTATAATGCTAGGAGTAGTCTAAACACTTTCCAATTCACGCCATGATGTTCAGCGCTTCAAGCCAAGCCCCCTCCATGTCCACCCCCTCTCTCTCACTTTCTCCCCATCCATGAAATTTCAGTCGCATCTTGCGCCTGTACTTTTCTGAACAATCAAACATGTAAGCTATCTTACCTGTTTGACAGCAAGCTTCTCTATCTGTGCTAATTGGTGGAGTAAATTAATGAGCAAAATGTAAAAACGATGTTTTCACAGGTAAATAAAAATGAACGAAAAGGAAATATATTAACCTTAACATTTTTGTGGTTCGAACCGGTTCAGAATGTTTTTTTCTGCCATGTCAGAACACCCCCTTAACGGTAAATAATTACGGTTCCAACCCCTGTTCTGAACTAATTTGAGTGTAGTGTTTGATATTCAACTGATGTCCACTAGAGGGTAGTATTAACCTATCATAGACACCTGCTCACTGGCACTAAACTAATTAATGTATTTGTGTGTTCTCCCCAGGCAAAGGAGAAGCAGAGTGCCAAAAAAGTCCAGGAAGCAAAGTGAGCACAAACACACGCACTCGTCAGTCGTCTTATTCGTGTGAAGGGCCATGGACCCCCCCCCCCCCCCCAGACACGAGCAGAGGCGGTGGGACAGAAAAGAACTGTGTTGACTGTCCCACCCAGGTCTACCCCTCCGCTGTAACGCATGCCTGGAAAGATATGTTTAAATGGACCTGTCTTATTTTCATAATAAAATGTTTAGATGTTCGAACGTGCTGTAGAATTATTGTTGATTGCATTCCATCATAGTTGCCTACATGGTCAAGTGTGTTTGTGTAGTTTTTAATAGTTGCTGGGAAAAAAGGTGGCAGGTAGCCTAGCGGTTAGACTGTTGGGCCACTAACCGAAAGGTTGCTAGTTCTAATCCCCGAACTGACCATGTAAGTCTCTCGATCTGCCCTTGAGCAAGGCACTTAACCCTAATTGCTCCAGGGTAGCCGTCAATAATGGCTGATCCCTGGCTATGACCTAACTCTCCAAGGGTATCTCAGGGGTAGTGGGATATGCAAAAAACACTTTTCCATTTCACACCATACTTGTACATGTGTGAAACAGGACAAATATAAGCTCTCCCTATTTGACCTAATCATTGAGAGCTGCCTACGATGTCACAAATATACACGGAACTCTATTGCACGTATTATTAAGAGGTGACTGTACACCAGCAACTGTGTCACATCCAACTATCTTTAGATTTAAAAAAAGTGCCACTGTCTTAAACAGTGGTGTAAAGTACTAAAGTAGTTTTATTGGGTATCTGTACTTTACTATTTTTATTTTTGACTACTTTTACTTCACTACATTCCTAAAGAAAAAATGTACTTTTTTACTCCATACATTTTCCCTGACACCCAAAAGTACCCGTTACATTTTGAATGCTTAGCAGGACAGAAAATTGTCCAATTCTCACACTTATCAAGAGAACATCCATGGTCATCCCTACTGCCTCTGACCTGGCAGATTCACTAAACACATGCTTTGTTTGTAAATTGTTGGAGTGTGACCCTGGCTTTCCGTAAATTAAAAAAACAAGAAAATTGTGCCGTCTGGTTTGCTTAATATAAGAAATGTTAAATTATTAATACTTTTACTTTAGATACTTAAGTATATTTAAAACCAAATACTTTTGGACTTTTCCTCAAGTAGAATTTTACTGGGTGACTTTTACTTGAGTCATTTCCTATTAAGGTATCTTTACTTTTACTCAAGTATGACAATTGGGTACTTTTTCCAACAACTGGTCTTAAATAAGCATACCGCCACACCAAGTTAAAATGCTTTAGATCAGGGGTCGCCAACCGGTCGATCCTCAAGGCATTCTTAGTCGGTCACCAAAATTTTTTGTAGAAAAGCCAACGACAAAGACTTCCGCTCCAGTGTTGCCAACTCCTCAGTAAGGAAAGTCGCTATTGGCTGTCGCTAAAAGTCGCTAGAAGTTGCTAAATGACGCCCATCAAACCTAATTTGCAGAATTGGCCATGTGCAATGGTAATTGTGATTATATGAGAGAAGGAATAACGATTGGCAACACTGTTCCGCTCTTTTTATTATTTTTTGCCCTCTGCTGTAGGTGTACTTGATTCAGAAGCCCTGCACACCGGGGAAGAGAAGTGCGCCTATTTTAAACTATTTTATTTGTCTGAATAGACAAAAGCCGCTTTCCCGACTGGGAGATCTGTGGCTAAATCGATTTCCCGTGTGGCTTAGTTGGTAGAGCATGGTGCTTGTAATGCCAGGGCTGTGGGTTCGATTCCCAAGGGGGACCAGTACGAGAAAATGTTTGAATTTACTACTGTAAGTCGCTCTGCATAAGAGCGTCCGCTAAGTTACTAAAATGTAAAAAATGTAAATCTAGTGCGCCTACGGCGCTGGCCAATCGCATAGCTCAAATCACAGTGCCTCCCAGTGTTGCCAACTTAGTGACTTTGTCGCTATATTTAGCGAGTTTTCAGACCCCTCTAGCGACACATTTTCAAAAAAGCGACTAGCAACAAATCTAGCGACTTTTTCTGGTGTTATTGGAGACTTTTGGTGACTCTGACGTGAAAGCACGTATCGTTTTTACTCTTCTCAATGAGCAGCGGGTGCTGCCGTGGGACCCACCCCATCCCAAAGCACTCACAGGCGGCCCAGTCCTCGCGCAGCAGTCAGAGCAGGAGATGTTCACCCCTCCGCGTCCAGACTGCAAATCAATCGCGCATGCGGGAAGCCGCCGCTGGCTGATCCCGCCCTGGCTTACATTCAGGGCGGCATGTAAATGTAGGGTGTTTTATTACTAACTTTTTGTCTCTCCCACAATGTTATTCCTCTCCTACAACGTCCATCACAATTACATGCACATGGCCAATTATGCAAATTAGGTGATGACATCATTTAGCGACATCTAGCGACTTTTAGGACAGCCAATAGCTACTTTCCTTACTGAAGAGTTGGCAACACTGGACTGCCTCCAGAGCTTCCACGAACCTGGCCACAGCAATGTTTGATAGGCTACTATTCTACGTAAGATTTAATCACTTTTAAAACCATGACCACAGAGAGACTGTCCATAGAATACAGCAGAGCTGCTGTTTTTATGAGTGGGTTTAAGTTTTTATTCAGCTCTGTCAACACAGTTTTTTCTCAACACAAAACGTGCTTCTCTGTACTTCCGCTCGCGCTGCAATTAATGAGTAGCCAAGTATATTGATAGCCCTGTGTTTTTATTATTAGCAGCTCATCGTGTCTATTTTAATATCGAGAAATATTTCACTTTCTCTGGTCATAGGAAAAACATGAATTTGTGCATGAGTGATCTTGACTCATATAAAGTTGGTGACCACTGATTTAGACCATGTTTACCCACATCTTCTATTGGTTGAAGTATTGCAAGTAGGCCTAAGTATTTTGTGCAAATGGAAAATATGACGACACGCTTATTCATCAAATCAAAATAAGGTGCAGCCATTTGCCATTATTGAGATGAGTGAAAATCGAGTTTGTTTTAATTTTGGAATCAAAAATAATTAGACAGGAATATATTTCCTATTTTATTTTCATAACCATTGCAGAATACTACATTCATCACCTTTTCTGGCCTTGATGGGTTCATATTCCTGAAGTAGCCAGCCAGAAAACAACCATGCGCATCTCTCATTTAATTGGGGCTATGTAAATACAAATGGGCTATGTATTTCAAGTTTTGCTGTGTGTGATCCCATAAGCAGCATGGTTTATAGCCTACAGACGAATTAAACTGGTGAACATCAATTCAGTTTATCTTTTACTTTGACGTATGTATGCTAGGACACTACTGTATGTAGCCTACAGTAATTTACATTTGTTTTGAGTAGCTTCTACAATTTCAGAATTCGTGGCCAGTCCAGCATATTAGGTCATGGGAAAAGTAAATGCAAAACATTGTTGAATTCAACGACACAATCTCACACTCAATTCGTGCAAATATGTCCAAAAGTATTTCAGCAGATTTCGTGCATTTTTGTGTGGCTTAATTAGTGTGAAAATACACTCATATTTGTGTGACTTCATTCATAGCAATTTTCTAGTTCTAAAAGTTTTTTGGGGGCAAACTTCTGAACAATATTTTGAAAGTTATTAGAGCAATGCATGATGGGCAATGGCGTTATACACTGCCTTTTGTTTTGTGTGCCACATTTATTTATATAAAAAACAAACATCTTAACAACCCAATATTGTTAATCAACCAGGTTGTCACCTAAATAATTATAATACAATAGTAGCCTTATGTTGTTTAAAAAAAGAATAATGCCAATATTGTTTTCTATGCTTGTTTTCGCTTAATGCTTTGGGATACTGGTGCACTTGTACTCAGAAAGGCCCTTTTTTCGTGTAGGCTACAGTAGGCCTACACAATTTTCTTCATGACGCATTTCATATTTCGTGGAGCATACATTACACAATTTTCTAAATAATGCATTTAATACAAGGCTCCACTTTTTCATGTACATTACACCATTTCTTTCATAATGCATTTTTTACAAGGCTATGTCGAATTTATGAGGGTTGCCAGATTGGAGAAAACAATATAGATTTTCTGTTGTTGTTGTTGGTATTGATGAAGGTATTTGATTGGGGAATGGGGATACATTTATATGATGGGAAATACACACACGCACACTTACACACATATACACACACTCACTTTGTTTCTACTCATGTTATAACCAACTCTTGACTTTTGTATGAATTATTTTTTCTAAAATATGTGTATCTAGTTGTCATGTATTCATTATCTTTAACTGGTTAAATGTTTTCATGTTTCAGTAATGATTACCATGGTTAAATAGTCGTAAATCACTGCTTGATTTAGATTTAGGTATATTTGGCGTTTTTATCCATATTCTGTATTTCCACTGAAGAAAGCAATAATTAAATAAATAGACACTACCTTTTATAAAACGGAAATTGCTCTCCGTAAATAAATGGCGAGTAATGTTTTTTTATTTATTTTATTTTTAGGGGGTAGATCAGCTTATATATTGCAGATAGATTGTAACTTCCATCATTGTAATTTTTTTCTTTTCTTGCATATATACATATACACATAAATATATACACATACATACATATATACATACATACATATCCTTTAAAAATATATATATTTCCCTTTATTACTTTTCAACCCCACCACTAGTGATCAACAATGCTTAGGCCTCTACTTCATGCTTATACATACTATATACATTTTATGGACACAGTCAGTAATGATATTTTGTTTGTTTTTACTCCTGAACTTCCTCCGATCATTTTCATGATGTCCATTGTGGGGATCTAGATGTGATGCCTAGCTTAGAAAGAATGCATTAATGATTAAATATAATAGGTTTGTACTGTACTGATATAAATTGTTTCACATAACAAGCTGTGATTAATGTGAGGAGCTGTTTTAGGGAGTAGGGGGAGATAAGAACTTGTGTCTCACATACACGAACACTGCCTCTTTGTGATCTGTGAACCGTCCAAGGACGTAGGTACAAA